AATATTAATCTGCCCTGTGCTGCCTGTCATGCGGCCCTCATTGGCTTGCTGAAACTCAGTAAGCGGCCCTCTGCCCACAATAATTGCCTGCCCCTGTGCTAGGTGCTTCTTGCTCTCCACAGCATTTATGTATGACTTTTAACTGTCAGCTTTTATTCACTGGCAGCATTAAACCCTCCTGTATTAGCATGGTTTAATAGAAAGCAAAAGTTAAGTGTCTCTTAGCTGTGAAACATTCAGTCTTCTAAATAAACAACATGCATAACAACACTTTAGAGAGAGGTGAAAAATGAGAAAGGGAAAGAGAGTTTGGCCCTTTAACGGAAGCAACAGTGCTTAATTGTGTGTGTGTGTGTCTGTAAAATTAATGCCTAGACATTTTAGAAATGAGTGCTTTAGAAAATAAATAGAGCCAGATAGGTAGGCAACATTACAGTAGAGAGAGGTAGATGCTATTCTGAAGTTATACAGAAAGCAGGGCAGGATGTCACCTTATAGACTAAGTCACTGAGAGAAGCATGAGCTTTCATAGGCTGTAGCATCTGATGAATAAGCTGTAGGGTATGGAAGTTAATGTTTCCTGACCAAGTTAGGCTATGAGGTACCACTTCAGATTGCAGTAGTTAATAATGTTTAATAATGTAGTTATAGATATACATTTAATAATGTAGATTGCAGTAGTTAATAATGTTAATTAATGTTGTAATAATAATTACATAATTTTCATTAACATAGCCTCCACTATGAGAGAGAGAAATTCAAGGCCAGTACAATATTTAATCATGTTTTAAAACTTACGACTTGTGACTAGACGTTCAACCGGATGTAAACTGGTTGATGTAAATCAATAGTATGATGCCTACCAACCACAAAGGTAGACAAATAAACTCTACGTTTACAAGATACCTGGATCACTAACCCCTAGAAGAATAGTTAAGTTTATATTAACTAATCATAGATAGTGCTGCTAGGTAAGTTAAATTACAGCATTTTAAACTGTATTAAATGGTTTATTTCTTTAGAGTATGCTGTACTAAGTTCAAAAACATACTTTAAAAAGCAGTATCTTTACAAAGCAGAAATACAATTTTTTCAGACTTTGGGAAGATTTAGTTCAGGGCAGTGCCAAGAGTTCCTCAAGGATATCAGTAAGTTCTATGAAACAATTAGCTCTATTTTGATTCCTTTGCTGGAGGAAGTTGTTTGGCTTATTATTGGCTGCCAAATTCAGATAGGAAAGAATACATACGTCTGTTCTTTATAACAAAAAGGACAAAGATCCCTAGCAATATTCTTTGCACAAACTCGATTTTCTTCTGAAGATTGCCATAAAAATTCTCACTGTAAGCTTTTTTGAAGCTGTATTAACAGTTCCTTTGAAACAATACCAGAAGGTCAGGCAAGGATTATTTTGGAAATATATTAATCAGCAAATGTCATAAAGTTAGAAGAGACTATTGCAAATGCAAAGCTTTGCTGAACTTGTTGACTCTGGTCGTAAGAAAAGGTTCATAATGGAATGGTTATGTTTTTGGGAAGCAAGGGCAATGTAAAAGGTTAAAGAAAGTTTTTGTTTGAATTATACATATATGTTATTTCACTTATAAAACATAAACAAATACAGCTATAATTGCTATGAATTTTGAAACGGACATTTTATAAAAGACCTTGCATTCCTTAGTCTCTGGTTTAAAGCCTGAATTACTTTGGAAAACATTATATTTGTCCCGGCCCTAGAAAGATTTACCATGAACTATGCATTTAAAAATCATTGATCCAAAAGTTGCCCAAGGCAGAGTGGGTTGAAAACTGAAAAGTTTTTCCCCCCAAATTTGAAATTTTTCAACCAGCCCTAGTACAAAATACATTTTCCTATTTTTACCTGTGCTACGAGTAGCAGAGGCTAGTTACAACCTTGGTGCACAAGTGCAGGATGTGCAGACTTCGGCAGGGAAATGCCGACCTCCTGTCGCTGCACGAATGAATGAGAAAGTTGAGGAGGATTCAGTGTAAACTGGTAACCATGCTCCTAACTAGCTTCCTTGTGGTCAGTCTCAGCAGAAGCCTAATTTTGGAGTGGAGGCTGCATTACC